GGGGGGTTTTTTGGTGAAAGAAAAAAAAGAAGAGGAAGGAGTTGTTTTTTTTGCGGCGGGGGGGTTTTGGTTTTTTTTTTTTTTTTTTTTTTAATGTTTTTTTTTCACGTGAAACTTGATATTCACTATAGTTTTTGGTTTTTATACTCAATTATTACTCCAATGCGGATTGTGGCAGATATAGCCGCAATTGGCGATATCATAAGGAACTTCGTCTCTGGTTAACAAAAGAACAAGGGACGGAGCCATTTACGAAAACTCAAGTTTATGAGCGAGGAAACTATATCTTTTTCGATCCAAATACTTGGGAGAAGGTTAAAAAAGAATACCTTCTTATGTACGAATCTTTAGAAGAACGACCTACGATGTTAAGCGGCATGGGTGGATCATCATCTTCTTCAAGCCTTTCTTCACTAACGACACCAAATTTACAACAACAAGCTGCAGCTCAACAAAATCTTGCAACAAATTCAATGAATATGGCAAATTTAATGAATTTAGGAAATTTATCTTCAACAGTAGGTGGTGCTAGCGGGTTAAACCCAGGTGCCTTGGCTGGTTTAGGTGCCGCTAATCCTGCACAATTACAACAATTACATCATCAATATCCTACAGGAGCGACCAATTCAGGATCACATCATCAATTAGGTGGACCTGGTCTTGTACAAGGTGGGCATTACATTACACAGGGCGGACATAAAGATTTCTGAACAAAAAAAAAATAAAAAAATAAAAAATAAATTAATTTGCATATCTGATAATTTTAGCATTGTTTTTATCGAAATAAAATAATTAAAATCATGCGTATAATGTAATAAATATATTTTTTAAAAGAGAATTATAGTGACATATAGCGTTGTTGTTATATGCCATTAACAAAATTCCTGATTGTTCTAAATTTTAACTCGACTATTTGAACAATTTTAGTAAATTATAAACCTTTTTCAAGTTTTAATTGTATTCAAAAAAATCAAAACACAATTCTCATGGGATATAACTTTTATATAAGTTTTTGTAATAATAATGAAACTTTTTATGATTCTTTGATTTGATACATAGTAATATTATGAGGGTCGTCTTTATTGAAAAAAAATTGTCTAAACACTAATATACAATTATGTTTACACGTTTTCAAAATTTTATTAGATGGTTTCAAACTCTGAATTTGTTAATATTTTAAGAAAAAAAATTAAAAAATCGTAATATCTCTAAATTTTATTATGAAAACCAGCTTTAGGTTATTAAGTATGTAAAAGTTTTCAACATGTAATTTTGCATATATAAAACCTCTAACACTAATACGAATTCGAACCCTAACTCTAACTTTCGAAAGTTTATTTTTTTTATTTATTTATTTAACAATTTTATATAATACCGGTGATATTACCTAAAGTGAAAATTAGTTACATAAAATTTTTTAATATTTATTTTAACAACTTTGTTTAAAAAAATTTTTAAAAGAAAATTTTGATTTGTATACTAATGTATACATACAATATCTCAAAATTTTGGTTATAAAATTGTTTTTGGAGTTTTAATAAAAAAAATTTCTTGTTAAAATTTGCATATATCTATATTTAGATAAAATTTCAAGTTTTATTCTAATCTTAATTAGAGTTTATTTTTTATAAAAATTAATATAATTTTAATTTACATAAATTAAAAATAATATTATAATGAATTCAAAACTTTTTCTGTATACAACTCTTTCTGATGATCTCTTGTACCAATATTTCCACAAAATATCAACCTACAAATATTATATAGTTAGTATATTTTTACACAACAAAACTTTACTGAGTAGTAACTAGATTCAAAG